CGCCTTCTACTAAGCACCTGGAAATGGTGCGGCTGGATACACTGTTCCGTAATGCAGGTGCCATTACTGCATGAATGGTAGACGATGAAGCTGTAGGCGCTGTCCGTGCTTGACGTACAATGAGACAATCCTCCCTTCTGGTGGTCTGTCGATAGCGTCCGGAACTTGTTTGCCGTTCGTGTGTACCCCTACTTACCCACTGCTCATAACACATCCTAACAGTTCTATCAGAACGGTTCAGATGGCGGCCAATCCGGCAGTATGACCATCTTCCTCTCAATCCAACAATGCGACCTCTCTTAAACTCACTTAACTGAGTGTAAGGCTGTCGAATGCGTCGTAGAGGCATGTCTGTCACTCAATGAAGTCAAAACCATGAATAAAAGTGCAGAACATATGCACAAGTCGTCACAGCGTGCACCTTTATACCAGGCAGCGGAAACATTTTTTCCCCTCTGGTGGCGATATAACATAAGAACCTACTCTCAAAAGCTAATCATTTACATATCTAGCTAAGATGATGCAACATATCAATTTTTATTCAGATCTAACAAGTCCTTCATGGTGCGTTATTTTTTTTGTCGTCCAGTGTATAATATACAGTGGTACCTCAGGATACAAATGCCCCAGCATACAAAATTTTCAGGATACGACATGAAATTCAAACATATTTTTGCCCCACGATACAAACAAAAATTTACCATACGACATTACATTAGTTCACAGCACCATTTTTTTATTCACTTCTGTTCATTGGTCTCAGTCTGCATGTTTGGTTCCTCGTGGAAGGATCTTGCTGGAAGGAACAATCCAATTGCCCTCCTGTGGGGCATGGGCCCCACAGGAGGGCAATTGGATTGTTAAGGGAGGCAATTCGAAAATGGACTCGTCCAGAGTTTAAGTTAACTGTATAGCCACTATATATGTTAGGGGAGCATAATAATTTTAGAAAGGCTTATGTGTGGCATAGCACAAAAAAGATTGGAAAACACTGTTCTAACTCTTCTATTATATTACAGTATATTATAGTATTTGATTTATATAACTACAAAGGTTATCTTATGTAAGGGTTTATCATACCAGGTGACCAAAGGATTTTTAAATTGTGTTAGATTGGCCACTTGGTCAATCCTGACATAAGATAACCTTTGTAGTTATACAAATCAAATACTATAATATAACAAATATTAAAACAAAAACCATATAAAGAGTTTCATTATTTTAGCCTACCATTGTCATGTTTATCACAATACTTGGATGGAATGAAATGACACAATTTCATTGGTCAAAATTATTATATCAAATTTTTTCAGACTTCATATTATTTCTAATGTTAACTCTAAGAAACTGTTCCATTCACAGCCAAATATCAAATTGTAATCTGCCAACGAATCAAATTTCACAAAAAATGGACCAAATATTTAAACACAACACCCTTGAAAATCACTTAAATCATATTTGGTGCTTGCCAGTAACCTCATATTATGTAAAAAGCCAACTTAATTTAATTATATGATATTATTAAAAACTCTGATTATAGTACATAGTAATCATTAATTAAAAAACATATAGAATGTGTTTTTTTACAAAAAAAAAATCTTATGAATTATCTTGTAAATTGGCTTATGTAACAGAAAGCTTTTCGCTAAAGCCAAACTACAAGTTTATTTGTGTACAGACATGATTCGACCTGTCGTTTCACTACAGCCAATTCAGAGATATGTGTCTAAATTCGTTAGTAATAAATCAAATATAGAGTCGAGTGCATCACATTTAAGTCTTTCTTGAGTGTGTTCTTTTATAATTATTTTTATAATCAGATTATAAATAACCCAATGTGGATAAGAAAAGACCACTGACTGAAAAACGACTTGAGTACTATGGTAATCTAAGTGATTCAGAGTCTGACAAGATTTTTGGCAAGGATGGTAACAGAAGTAGTGATTATGTACCTTCTGAGGATTCAAGTAAAGACAATGATAATGAAGTCATCTCTGAACCTGAAGATGAGACTATTCTCAAACCTGAAGGCAATCACGATGCTTCTCAAGCAACCATATCAAATGCAAACAATAATTTGTGGACAGAAAATCAACAAAATACTGAACTATTTATTTTCCAAGAAAATATTGGTTTGAAATTGGATATGACAAATCTTACAATGCAAATGCTGGTGGACTTATTTTTTCAAAAGAATTTCTTGCATTACTGGTTGAACAAATAAATTTGTATGCTGTGCAAGAAATTGCAAAACAAAGTAGTAAAAA